AATAATGTTAGAATTTCATAAGCAGAAACGTAAATTAGCTATGACAAAAATACTTTAGATTTTTATTTAAAAATAGGAGATCAGGTTTTATTGAAAAATGAAACAGGGCATAAGTTAGACTTTAAATATACTGGACCCTATAAGGTTGAAAATATATAGAAGAAAAAGATAATATAGTAATTATAAGTAATAACAAACAGTACATAAAATAGACTAAAATTTTTTATTTCTTTATCACTTTTATTCTCTCCCTGCAGTACCATTCAGCGCTTATTGAGCACTCAATCACTGCAAAAAGCTCATCACTGAGCGCTCAATGAGCGCACAATTTGTATGGAACTAAGTGCTTAAATTAACATAGGCATGTCCTAGGGTTCATCAGTGCTCATAAGATAGCACGCATTGAGCGCTTTTTTGAGCACCCTTTTGAGCGCTTTTTTGAGCAGCAGAAAAAGCACACGTTCAGCACATGTTGAGCGCTCGATTAAGCAGCGGAAAAAGCACACATTCAGCACACGTTGAGCGCTCATTCAAGCAGCGAAAAAGCGCACATTCAGCACACATTGAGCGCTCATTCAAGCAGCGAAAAAGCGCACATTCAGCACACGTTGAGCGCTTAGCAGCAAATAAAATTTCAGTTGTAATTTTTATTTTTATTTGATTATTTTAAAATTTGAGCTCGGGGGTTTCCGGTGTTATCGGAGTCGCTGGCACCTCCTTCTCAGCATCTGGTGCCGGCGTTGCCTTTTTTTGGTACAACTCAAGTTTTTAACGCACCGCATTGCCTTCTGCAGCGCCTTTTCGGGAGGTTCCGAGGGATCCACCAGGGCGATTGCATCTAGTATTAGAAAAAAATTAGTTTTAAAAATAAAACAAGACGAGAATAAAAACGAGTGACCGAAAGTAATCGTTATTTGTAAGATTTATTTATAATAAAAGAAATGTTATCTTTGGCATTCAATGTAAAAATCCCAGAAGTCTTTTAAAAATTAAACTTACAAACAATAGTTTTCAGCCTCAACAAAAACTTACTTAATAAGGCACGGGCGAAATTTGGGTAGTCTGAGCCTCTTCTTGTTTTGCCCCCCCTCCAAGTTGTGGGACAGAACAAGTTCCTCGGATAATATGCTTACGATGGAACGATTTGGCCTTCCATTTTTTTATAGATTTACCATCAGCCTTGTCTAAAAATATAAAGAAAATTAAAAAAATATCGAGAAGAAATTTGCAAACTTTTGTTTGCGGTCACTTGATTTATTTTATTTTGTTGTAAAAAATTATTTATGTATTTTTTTTATTATTTATTAAATCATTTATTTATTTTGCAGATGCGGAAAAAATACCACTTTTCCAGGGACGGAAAATTAGAGATGTTTGAGATTTTTACATGTTTGTTTACTTACACAAAAATAAAAATTGTGCTTTAATGTTATTAATACAAAAAATCATAAGTTATAAAAACAAACATCTCTTATTTTTGGTCCCTAGGAACTCAGCACTCAATAAGATTTTAAAATTTTTTCACAGATTTGTTTATTATATGCACCATTTGTTGCTTTTCACGTCAAAAATTAATATTTTTCACAGCTATTTTTTTCCGCCACGTTTTTTTTGGGAATCTTGTATTTCCTTATTTTAAATATAGATTATCTTGTTTTTTACTCTCACTGTTTCAATATTATTAGTCTGCGACAGACTTACCTGGGAATCGTTTTTTTCACTTTTAAGCACTATTTAATTTAATTTAGTAATTACTGTATGTTGCTTCAACTTCTAACTCCTTCACTAAAGTAAACGCAAGTGAAAAGACGAAAAAAGGCGCGTGCCTTCCCAGAAAAACAACAAGCAACAACAATAACGGTTCCGCTAAGCCGTTGTTGTCTTGCACATAAAAGCAGGGTATTTATAGACATATTCGACTATGCAAATCGGTTTATAAAAATATATTTTAAAACTTTACATATTATTAAATTATATTAATAAACATATAAATTTGTTTAAGAAATACAAATATTTTAAAACAGAAACCTATTATTTTAAATCGTTGTTTTAACATTTACGAACAAATGTCGCATTATTCAAAAGGCAAGGGTGCACAAAGGTCTATATATTTAGTTGCTGGGCCTCTTCCCTTCACGCGCACTTTTCGTCTGAGACTTGACGAGAGAGGGAGAGCCCAAAATTACTTTTTGTGCGTTCTCTTTGCGGACCCGACTGAGAGCGCGTCGCTTTGCCGCCGTTTCGCTCAGCTCTGCCGGCGTCGCTGGCTTCTCTGCCGACGTCGCAGTCGGCTTCGTGATTGGGCGCTTAACTCAATTGTGGAACTGCAGGGTTGATATATACATGACGGCCGCTGCCAATGTTTGCAGGCAGCGCAGCCGCGAATAGTTAATTGTAAGTCACTCTGGTTTTGACCATCAAATAAAAAAGATCTTCCCGTGGCCGTTAGCCACTAAGACCGAATTAATATTCTTTTTCTGGGTTCAACATGTATTCTATTAATGACAAGGAGGACCAGCAATACACTAGCTCTTATAGTTTCCGAGATCTCAGCGTTCATCCGGACGAACGGACAGACGGACGTGGCTAAATTGACTCTGCTGCTGATCCTGATCAAGAATATACATACTTAATGGGGTCGGAAACGCTTCCTTCTACCTGTTACACACTTTCCGACGAATCTAGTATACCCTCTTACTCTACGAGTAACGGGTATAATAACTTTGGTCGCATCTTAAAAAAAATTGTTTTCGTTTTGCTTTATTTTTTGACAATTTTAATCCAAAATATTTACCTTCGTAATGTGTTTCTCCCCACGTCATAGATGGTCTAAAATACAGTCCACTAGCAAGGTCGACCATAGCCTCGCCAGCGCAAATTTCGTAAATAGACCGTTATGTAATCCCTTCAGTTCGAAAAAAAAAGTTTCACTTGTGAATCACCTTGTGAATCCTGTGGGACATGTGCTCTTGCACAAGTGAAGAACAAGTGACACTCCATATAGACAATTGTATGGGATGTCCGCTTTTTCACATGTGAAAATTCAAATGTAAATTTTTCGAAGTCCCACGGGATTTCAATTGTTCCTTATACTCATTTGTCGTATGGACGTGAAATCACTGTGAAATTCAAAATATTTTCAATGAGTTTTCGCCTTTGAAATCACTTGCAAGTGACACGTCTTAAGTGAGATCACTTGTGAAATTCAGAATTTTTCCCATGAGTTTTCACTTATGAAAATATAGAATTTAATATACATAAATTTTTAATTACACTTAAATTCATTTTAATTAGAACGTATTATTCAGATTTTCAATTAAGGGACAATTATTGTTAGTATATCTGATTATATATTTTGATAGTCTCCTTTCAACGTTCGTCATCGCCTTTCTCAAACATGTGTCCGGGTCCTCGGAGTCCTTGGCCAACGCTTCTGAAAAAATGTATGGGCATATGATTAAAAAATGCGTTGTACTTGTTTAATTCTATATTTACCTTTGCAGGATTTTTTTTGGCACAAATCATTTAACATCCACTTTCGGCTAACGGAACCCATTGAATACCTTCAAAATTTACACACTTTAAACTAAGATCAATGCACAACATCTTAAACTTAAGGGGTTATATACCTTTTTTTTTCAAAAAAACGAAAATTTTTTTTTTTGAATCCTAAAGTATATCCCCTAGAAAACATTTTCCCAAACTTTCATAGAGATCCGAATAATAGTTGCATATACTCAACGTAAAACTTTGAATGCGATTATCTCAAAGTCGTGTTTTTCCAAAAGTGCTTTTGCTGCGACCGCGATTGCACAAGAACTATTTGATCGATCTTCTTCATTTTTTTTTAAATTATTTGTAATGATTGTGCCGAGTTCGTGAACGATTCAGTTTTTATGCGCCAGTTTTGATTTTGCAGATCAGAATTTTTTTATTAAAATTTTTAGAACTCGAAAAATCACCTTTTTGGAAAAATCGTTACTGTATGCAGAACAAAACCAAATATTCTTGAAAATAATCGTTCACGAACTGTAAATAATACTATACTAATAAAATTTTTTTGGTTTTTTGATATCAGTTGACCTGCTGGACTTCCATCGTGGTCACCGCAAGCCGCTATAAAAAAAAGGGTTCCGAGAGAATTGCCATAACTTCGTAAATTATTTATATTTTTTCAAAAACAAACGCTTGTTGTTTCGATAAAAACATGTACTATCAATAAATAATAACTTCAGTGTCATAAATTAATTGCTACACACCTGAAAAAAAATCCAAAGTTCCCTCAATTTTTTCGCTCAAAAAGGTATATAACCCCTTAATGTAGCACTTACCTGAATTTATTATTTTACCTTAAAGAAACGATTAATTTAACTTTGATGCGCACAATCTTCTTCTTACCCCTTTACTTGATTTCTTTGGTTTTCTCTTCGCTTTTGGCGCGTGCCACTGCACCTGTTCAGTCCCACGGTACTTGGTTCGTATACACAGCTGATAGCCCTGCCAACTGAAGACGAAGGTCAGGACATCTGGCAACTCTACAGAGCTTGCGAGAAGAAAAAGAGAACTACGAGCTTCAGCGACCGGAACAACATCGTCTGCTCTTACTTTCTGTCCATTGCGACCCATTTATTATAAAGTTAAGTAAAGATCAAGAGTGAAGTGTACCCATTATAAGCTAATGAATTAAAGGCTAAACTGTTATCTTTGAACTTCGATCGTTTACCTACTCCCAAGAGCCCCTCTTACGATGACAGCCGTATATAGCATTTTCGGCACGGCGTCACAACTTAACATGGTGGCCCATGGGGGGAATCTTGCTTAAAGTTGAAAAATCTCAGCTTGATCTTTCAATTGTTAGTTAAAAACATAACACCAATCACTCAATCTAACACGTGCTCTCACACCGACAGAGTACAGTCATCAATACCAACACACCCGGTCGGCTGACAGCGCTTCTACACACACACCCACACGGGTGCTGCAAGAAGGCCCGTTATAATTTCCTACTCAAAGCGGAATCGGAAAACAGTACAGCCTGCGCTCACGCTATAGTCAACGTTACGTTAATTCAGCCGCAAGCAGAAGGGAAAGATCACGTGAGTACGGGTGCCTTTTTTGATTTATCAAGCAGAGCTAGCTAGGTTCAAAACAAATTGGTAAAAATTCTCATAATATGTCTGACCACGAAGCTGATGGTCCGGCCTTAGCAGGTTTTGTTATACTTCAAAAGGAGCGTCTTCAAAGTCCAACACGTCTGCAGCAGAACTATAAGAAGGATTCCGCCTCTCGAAATTCCGAAAGCTATTATATGAAGCGCCTGCAGCAAATCGAGAGTTTAAGCTCGGCCTATGAGACCACCCATCAAGTAATCATCTGCACCGAGGGATATGTCAAAACGGACTATCACGCCAAGAAGATCGCCGTCAGTTTTGAGGATCTGTACATGGAAACCTATTGCCTTGTAGCTGAAGGCCAACGAATAAAGTTCCCAGTGACGCCGTCCTCAGCCTCTGCACCAACCGCCGTGTCGACGGTTGCCGACGCACGTGTCCACATGCCAAAACTGAAACTGCCCAAGTTTAGCGGAAACTGCGTGGACTGGCCAGGATATTATGACGCCTTCACTCGGTTAATTCATCAAAATAAGCGGCTGGACAATATTCAACGGTTTCATTTCCTCAAGGAATCTCTGCCAGCTGGTCGAGATTTCGATATTCGTCAAATTCCTTTGACGGCCGCTTACTATACGGTAGCACGGGACACACTAATTCAGCGCTATAACATTCCACGCGTGGTCTTCTCCAATCACAAGAACATGTTGTACCAGTTGCCAAGCTTAAGCAAGGAGAAGCCCGATGATATTCGATCTATGATCAGTGCAGTCAACGTCTGCGCAGCCGCCTGTAACACCATCAACGCGTCGTCGCAGGACGGGGATCACTGGGTCGCCCATTATTTGACTGCAAAATTACCGAAGGAATAGCACTCCGCCTGGGAACATCATCCCGGCAGTCAAACCCACATTCCTCGTACAAGGATCTCGAACATTTTCTCAACAACCGGTTAATCACCCTGGACGCCATTGAAAATAGAAAATGTTCGGGCACCAACAAATCTGGATCAGCACTGGATCATCACACCAAAAAACGTATTTCGGTTCATAACACCCACGCGCAACCAAGCCCCCCTGTGCTTCGTTGCCCACACTGCAATGGTAATCATATCCTTCGTCGATGTCCGCGATTCCTAAGCTTGGATTGCTACTAACGTATGTATGTATGTGTAAGCTACAATAATCTCAGATCATACCGTCCAAGCTCTCCAACTTCCACGATGCAAAATCCGCGCTTCGATCGCCGGCGTCGGCCAAACTACTGGTCAACGGTGCAACTTTACGGCAAGATGCTGCATCCGAACGTCGCTAAACCCAACGTTCAATCTAGATGTCGACTCTGCGTACGTTCTGAACTCGCTGACCTCACCTCTACCAAACGAATCGTTTTCGCCTCAAAATTGGAAACACATCAAAGGACTCCAGCTATCGGATCCTCTATACATCGCTCGAAGCGCATAGATCTCATCATCACAGCCGACCTCATGGCGAGTCTTATCCTTCCGGGAACCCGAATCGGAAATGCAGACGAACCTATTGCACAAAATTCTCACCTAGGTTGGATGACACTCGGAAAGTTCCAGGATTCAATCCACACATTTAATATTCGGTGTCATCAAACCGCCTTAGATACGGAATTGCTTTTGAAGAATTTCTGCGAAATAGAATCTGTCCCAAGCCGATCACTTCACTCTGACGAAGAGCGGTGGTGTGAGTCCTTCTTTAAGGAAACGCACACACGTCAACTAAACGGTATTTTTATGGTAAGACTACCTTTCAAATGGAATTTCGATCCCGCAATGGCACTAGGAAAATCGCATCAAGTCGCATTAAACAGGTTTCTTCAATTAGAGCGGCGGTATCAACGGGATCCAGACAAATGGGATCGCTACAAGGAGGGAATCGAAGAATATTTTGAATTGGGACAAATCACACACAGTGAGAGATCAACGGTCAGTACCTCCACAAAACGATCGCAAGCACTTAGGGTGGGACGACCCAGTGCCCAGTTCCATCGCTAACAAATGGAAAAGGTTCCGTGTCAATCTGGAGGACATCAGCAAAATCCGAATACCTCGCAGCGTACGGTATACGCCAGACTTTAGCCATGATATCCAGTTGCACGCTTTCTGCGACGGGTCCACTCACGCCTACGCAGAGGCGGTTTACATGCGCATACCCCAACCGGATTCATCGTTTTATACCACTCTCATCACTGCAAAATCAAAAATCTGTCCAACGAAACCCCTCACGATCCCGAGGACCGAGTTATGCGGCGCTGTACTGGCAACCAAACTAACTAAATGGGTAGTAGCAAACAATCGTTGGAAAAACGATCAAATCTCCTTTACATACTGGACGGATGCCACTATCGTTCTGCACTGGATCAAAAGAGATCTTACTAGATCCTACATTCTGGACCACAGCGATTCAAACCAATGGAGACATGTTCCCACGGCGGATAATCCAGCAGACAGCGCCACGAGAGGACTATCCCCATCAGAAATCTCCATCTTTGATCTCTGGTGGCAGTGAGTGGCCGGACACAGAGGTACCGAACATAAAGCTTGATGAGCAGTCCCTAGAATCAAAATCTTTTCGGATTCGTTTGCACACCACCCAAGTAGACATTAATATCATTGAGCGGTTTTCGACTTACACCAAACTCGTATGAGTCATAGCATACATACTGCGCTTTTGTCACAACACTCAATCGAAGAAAACCAGATCTTACAGTCAGCTGTCGCCAGAGGAACTGGACAATGCATTTCGCTGCGTCGTGAAAATAGTACATGTCGATCCTCGCAGAAAATCCTCTGCCTCCGAAGAGCATCCTAAGAAATCTCACTCCCTTTCTTGACGACGGCATCTTACGCGTTCGCGGTCGTCTCAAACATTCCAACCTTTCTTTCGATCGCAAACATCCAATCATCTTACCGCAGCGTACCCTGCATGACAGCGCTCATCTTACTCTAGCCCACACTTGGTACAAGTTCGGGATTCCAAATGGAAGACAAGCCGTCCGAACAATCCTTCGAAAATTCATCAAGTGCTTCCGCGCGTCACCTAGCATCGGAAGTCAATTGACGGGCGACCAGCCGGTACACAGGGTCAACCCACCGAACCGCCCATTCATTGCGACCGGCGTCGATTATACCGGGGCAAAATCATCATCAAAATTTGATTCGTCAGTTTTGGAAGCAATGGAGCCGAGATTGGCTGTCCCATTTTCAAACTCGCCCAAAATGGTGTCAGGAAAAATAGAATTTTGAAATCAATGAAAAAGTGCTCATCATTTTTAATTTTTAAATTCCACACCGCTTCTGCACGAACACCGCCAAAGATTAAATTTCTTATTCTTTGGGTCGCGGCTAAAGGCGTTCATCGAAATTCACGCGCGAAGTCTGATATTTTTTCTGGTATCTCCTTAGCTCATATGAGTACCGCGCTGAAAAAACAACCCGACGAAAAGCGTTAACCGCGTATTTGCATATTTTTTTTTAATTTCAAAATTTTACAGTTGCACCAAGATATTTTTGGATTTTTTCACTGGTTCTAGCTAATAATTATATTATTTTATTAATAATAATGTAGCGGAAAGGTGTGAAGGATAGCCGTAAATCTTTTTGTTTTAACATTAACATGTATTTGTTTAAATATTGGAAAGCATGAACTCTTCTCTCTTCATTTCAAAATTACAATTTCACCAAACTTCCCCATAAACGATAATTCTGGATTTTCCCACTGGTTCTAGCTAAAAATTATATTATTTTATTAATAATAATGTAGCGGAAAGGTGTGAGGGACAGCCGCAAATCTTTTTGTTAAAACATTAATATGTATTTGTTTAAATATTGGAACGCAATTTCAATTTGAGAATAACAAAATTACTTCAAAATTTGAAATATGTTTCACTCTTTGAAGGAAGTGTGTTAAGTCTTATTAGGACTTGCAAATGAATATTTTTTTACAAAACGTATCAGTGGGTATTATAAAGAACTTGTATTTAAACGAATCTCATTTCACAATCCAGTTGTTAAAATATGTATGTATGTATAAACACACACAAATGAGTAAATATTTTTACACACACGCACGGATATCTTGCTTTCAGTATTCTTATTTTCATTAGTTTTCCAGCTGGATACGTTTTTTTCGCACGTATTCTTTGTTCACTTAAACGCCTGTTAAATAGTTTTTTGTTAGCATGCGGTCACACTTAACGGCTTGGCTATTTCCCTATGCCAAAGAGCGATGTCACAATGGACATACGGAATAGGAAGAAATTGGGAAACTTCGTTAAGGAGGCTCAAAAAAATGTATGCAATTTTTTGCTGGTGCCTGAAACCACTTTGGCAAAATTTATAACAGAGAAATGGCAAAATAAAAAATGTTAAAAAAGAAATGGAATTTTGGCAGAATTGCAGTTTGTGGTTTCTGTTTTTTTACATTTTGATGTCAAGCCATTAGGTTAATTTTTATTCTAGCATCAAAACTCTGGGAGCCACATTCTTGCGCGGGTTGTAGGCGTTAGAGTGGGCGTGGCACCCTGCTGAAACAAACTTGCTCAAGAAGCTCAGGAATCTGCATGCCAAATCCCAATAGCCTAGCTCTTGTAGTTTCCGAGATCTCAGCGTTCATCTGGACGGACGGACAGACGGACGTGGCTAGATTGACTCGGCTGCTGATCCTGATCAAGAATATCCATACTTAATGGGGTCGGAAACGCTGTCTTCTACCTGTTACATACTTTCCGACGAATCAAGTCCATAGTCAATAGCGAATAAATTTAAAGATAAATAACTTTGGTCGCATCTTAAAAAAATTGTTTTCGTATTGCTTTATTTTTTGACAATTTTAACCCAAAATATATACCTTTGTAATGTGTTTCTTCCCACGTCATAGATGGTCTAAAATACTGTAGAAATGCTTGTTCGAGCTTTTATTAGGAATCCCCAAATGTAGGCAGCAAGAACAACCCATCAGAACAAGCAAGCGAAACAGTGCTGCCATCAAGTATGTTGGTATCGGCAAGGGCAGAAACTAAGAGCAAATTGCCATTCTTGGTTTTGACTTTTGAGAATAGGAAAAAAAAGAAAAATCGGCTGATTGGTTACATCTTTGGCGGCCCAATACATCCGGTTGGGGGTAACATACCTTGGCCACGAGCTCGGCTAATTCTTTTCGATTTTGATCGCCAAGGAGGACAGTCCAGCAGCTCCAAAAGGTTTCAGGGCCTTGAAAAAGAATTTATTTTTCCTTTCCGTAACGGAAGCACGTGAAAGCTCGTGCAGACCAACGGAACTATAAAAACGAAAAGGAGTTATATTTTTTTTGATTTCTTAGTACCAAGTTAGGTAAATATACCAAGCTATATATATAGTCAATCTAAGGGAGTGCTTATGCATTTTTTTTCTCTTTCCCTCGATGTGTGTCCAGCTTGGCACGCAGCCGCAAAATCACCAAGCAGCTTTCAATTGGCAAAACAACCAAAAGGAAAGGTACTTCCCCATCCAGCCATAAGCCAATTCGCCCAGACCGAAAGCCACAAGTCAATTCGTCGGAGATAGACAATTTCCAGCCACTCAGCACTCCGTTTTCCAAGTTGGAAACTTTTCCCGATCCAGGGAATTCGCTCAGCTTCCCAGAGCGACCGGCTTCCCGCCTCTCTCTCGGATTTCAGCCGGGAAGGCCCAAAGCCCTTCGCGCCGACTACGCTGGTTAAGCGTAATAGTAGTTCGCGTCGTGCTCAGTCCGCCAGTTGCAATCAAAATACCGCAGCCCCTAAGATTGCACAGTTTTTTTTAAATCCCCAAAGCGTGAAATAATTTTGGAAAATAGCCCAACAGAGACCTATAAGTAGTATGATAAATTAAGGGCTTTTTTTTTTTTGCTAATTTATTTTGGGTTAAGAAATGAAAAACGAAGTTGCGAAACAAAGGTAAAATGTGAGAGGAGTGAAATATTGCGCACAGTTTTTTTTAAATCCCCAAAGCGTGAAAAAATTTTGAAAAATAGCCCAACAGAGACCTATAAGTAGTATGATAAATTAAGGGCTTATTTTTTTTTTGCTAATTTATTTTGGGTTAAGAAATGAAAAACGAAGTTGCGAAACAAAGGTAAAATGTGAGAGGAGTGAAATATTGCGGCATAACAGAACGGAAAAACTAAAACACGTGTAAAGTGAAAGAATAGGAAACAAAGAGAAAGAAAAAAATACATACGAAAGGAAAAAAAAGATGTGCGAGTGTAAAAAAATAAGTCTATAAAGCCCAACATAGTGAAATTAATAGAAAATATCCCCCCACCTGCTAAAGCAGAAGGAAAGAACATGACATAAGGAGTATCAAGAAAGAAGGCTCTCTCTTTTTCTAGCGACCGCTGCAAAAGATCTTTCGCCGCCGGATCGTTAGCAAGTTTTTTCACTGTACCTTTATTTCCCTTTTTTCTTTTGTGTTCTATGCCATGCGTAACTGACTTACGCCATGCGCTTCCCAATGCCAAACCTGGAAAACACACATCGCGTGTTCGGTACGTAAAATCAGACTTGCAAATATAAAAAAATGAAAAAAAAGACGACAAGCACACAAAAATTAGAAAAAAACCCCAACTAAGAAAAGGATTTAAATTAAATTATTCTTACAACCACATCAAACTCTCTAGAAATAAACTTATTCCCTTCTCTTCTCTTTTATTAGTATTATTTGATACATATATCTTAATTTCTAAACCGAACAAAAAAAAAACCAATTGCTTATTTCATATAATCCAATTTTATTTCAGCAGTATTTCATTCCTCACAAGCCTATGCAAATAATTTTATTTAAATAAAACCGGAATGAATATTTTATAAATTCTCGGAAGGAAACCAAATATGAGCCAAAAGTGAAATTAATAGCAAAGAAATTTTCATTTATGAGAAAGAAAGTAGTTATTTATGATTAATAAAACAAATTCATAGTGAACTCTAACTAAAAGTCTCCTCATCCGGGGATTATGGAGGTCGGAGTGTCAGGGTAAGAAGGTGTAGTCACTCCCTGGGATCCTGAGGACGCATAAAAGGACATAAAGGATCATGGTAGGGTCGGGCTTAGCAATTATATTGCGAGTAAAGGGGAGTGGCGTAGTCAGGTGTATCTCTTGTGTATTGTTGGTGTTGTTCTTTCGACCATTTTCTTCTACTTTCTAATTTTTTCTTCCCAAACTAAGTACGCGAAATTTAACGTGGCGGCACCCCTTTCTTTAAAAACCCACCCCAAGCCGACCAGACTAAAACTAGAAGCCGAGGACATCGCGTACTCCGCTAAAAGCGTTATTTATTTCCACCAGCGCTTATTTTTCCCAAATCAAACGTTATATGCTACAACACAGTCCACTAGCAAGGTCAACCTAGGTCTAGCCTAGCCAGCGCAAATTTCGAAAAAAGATCGTTATATAATCCTTTACTTTGACTTGATTTTACCGAAAGAATAGCACTCCGCCTGGGAACATCATCCCGGCAGTCAAACCCACATTCCCTCGTACATTGAAAATAGAAAATGTTCGGGCACCAACAAATCTGGATCAGCACTGGATCATCACACCACAAAACGTATTTCGGTTCATAACACCCACGCGCAACCAAGCCCCCCTGTGCTTCGTTGCCCACACTGCAATGGTAATCATATCCTTCGTCGATGTCCGCGATTCCTAAGCTTGGATTGCTACTAACGTATGTAGGTCGTGAGTAAGTCAAACATATGCCTCAACTGCCTGAGCAAATCGCACATGCTTGCCCGCTGTTCAAGTGTAAAGAATTGCTACCACTGTGGACAACGCCACCAATCTCTACTTCATCCGGCAGCGACGCCAAGCACCACTTAAGCATCCCAACCTTACTCGCCGACCGTATCATCCAGTCAACCTCATATCGCTTCGATTATGAACACCGACAAATCACCAGTTAGCCCCCTTGCTAATCCAAACCTCCAATGTTATTCTTCCACAGCCTCCCATGCAACGTGACAGAATATCCTGTTAGCTACCGCACGGATTATTGTCTGCCACCCCCAGAGCGGCGCTTAAGCATCAATAACTGCCCTCATCGATCAAGAGTCGGAAGCTACAATAATCTCAGATCATACCGTCCAAGCTCTCCAACTTCCACGATGCAAAATCCGCGCTTCGATCGCCGGCGTCGGCCAAACTACTGGTCAACGGTGCAACTTTACGGCAAGATGCTGCATCCGAACGTCGCTAAACCCAACGTTCAATCTAGATGTCGACTCTGCGTACGTTCTGAACTCGCTGACCTCACCTCTACCAAACGAATCGTTTTCGCCTCAAAATTGGAAACACATCAAAGGACTCCAGCTCTCGGATCCTCTATACATCGCTCGAAGCGCATAGATCTCATCATCAGAGCCGACCTCATGGCGAGTCTTATCCTTCCGGGAACCCGAATCGGAAATGCAGACGAACCTATTGCACAAAATTCTCACCTAGGTTGGATGATACTCGGAAAGTTCCAGGATTCAATCCACACATTTAATATTCGCTGTCATCAAACCGCCTTAGATACGGAATTGCTTTTGAAGAATTTCTGCGAAATAGAATCTGTCCCAAGCCGATCACTTCACTCTGACGAAGAGCGGTGGTGTGAGTCCTTCTTTAAGGAAACGCACACACGTCAACTAAACGGTAGTTTCATGGTAAGACTACCTTTCAAATGGAATTTCGATCCCGCAATGGCACTAGGAAAATCGCATCAAGTCGCATTAAACAGGTTTCTTCAATTAGAGCGGCGTTATCAACGGGATCCAGACAAATGGGATCGCTACAAGGAGGGAATCGAAGAATATTTTGAATTGGGACAAATCACACACAGTAAGAGATCAACAGTCAGTACCTCCACAAAACGATCGCAAGCACTTAGGGTGGGACGACCCAGTGCCCAGTTCCATCGCTAACAAATGGAAAAGGTTCCGTGTCAATCTGGAGGACATCAGCAAAATCCGAATACCTCGCAGCGTACGGTATACGCCAGACTTTAGCCATGATATTCAGTTGCACGCTTTCTGCGACGGGTCCACTCACGCCTACGCAGAGGCGGTTAACATGCGCATACCCCAACAGGATTCATCGTTTTATACCACTCTCATCACTGCAAAATCAAAAATCTGTCCAACGAAACCCCTCACGATCCCGAGGACCGAGTTATGCGGCGCTGTACTGGCAACCAAACTAACTAAATGGGTAGTAGCAAACAATCGTTGGAAAAACGATCAAATCTCCTTTACATACTGGACGGACGCCACTATCGTTCTCCACTGGATCAAAAGAGATGTTACTAGATCCTACATTCTGGACCACAGCGATTCAAACCAATGGAGACATGTTCCCACGGCGGATAATCCAGCAGACAGCGCCACGAGAGGACTATCCCCATCAGAAATCTCCATCTTTGATCTCTGGTGGCAGTGAGTGGCCGGACACAGAGGTCCCTAGAATCAAAATCTTTTCGGATTCGTTGGCACACCACCCAAGTAGACATTAATATCATTGAGCGGTTTTCGACTCACACCAAACTCGTATGAGTCATAGCATACATACTGCGCTTTTGTCACAACACTCAATCGAAGAAAACCAGATCTTACAGTCAGCTGTCGCCAGAGGAACTGGACAATGCATTTCGCTGCGTCGTGAAAATAGTACATGTCGATCCTCGCAGAAAATCCTCTGCCTCCGAAGAGCATCCTAAGAAATCTCACTCCCTTTCTTGACGACGGCATCTTACGCGTTCGCGGTCGTCTCAAACATTCCAACCTTTCTTTCGATCGCAAACATCCAATCATCTTACCGCAGCGTACCCTGCATGACGGCGCTCATCTTACTCTAGCCCACACTTGGTACAAGTTCGGGATTCCAAATGGAAGACAAGCCGTCCGAACAATCCTTCGAAAATGCATCACGTGCTTCCGCGCGTCACCTAGCATCGGAAGTCAATTGACGGGCGACCAGCCGGTACACAGGGTCAACCCACCGAACCGCCCATTCATTGCGACCGGCGTCGATTATACTGGGGCAAAATCATCATCAAAATTTGATTCGTCAGTTTTGGAAGCAATGGAGCCGAGATTGGCTGTCCCATTTTCAAACTCGCCCAAAATGGTGTCAGGAAAAATAGAATTTTGAAATCAATGAAAAAGTGATCATCATTTTTAATTTTTAAATTCCACACCGCTTCTGCACGAACACCGCCAAAGATTAAATTTCTTATTCTTTGGGTCGTGGCTAAAGGCGTTCATCGAAATTCACGCGCGAAGTCTGATATTTTTTCTGGTATCTCCTTAGCTTATATGAGTACCGCGCTGAAAAAACAACATGACGAAAAGCGTTAACCGCGTATTTGCATATTTTTTTTTAATTTCAAAATTTTACAGTTTCACCAAGATATTTTTGGATTTTCTCACTGGTTCTAGCTAATAATTATATTATTTTATTAATAATAATGTAGCGGAAAGGTGTGAAGGATAGCCGTAAATCTTTTTGTTTTAACATTAACATGTATTTGTTTAAATATTGGAATGCATGAACTCTTTTCTCTTCATTTCAAAATTACAATTTCACCAAACTTCCCCATAAACGATATTTCTGGATTTTCCCACTGGTTCTAGCTAAGAATTATATTATTTTATTAATAATAATGTAGCGGAAAGGTGTGAGGGACAGCCGCAAATCTTTTTGTAAAAACATTAATATGTATTTGTTTAAATATTGGAGCGCAATTTCAATTTGAGAATAACAAAATTACTTCAAAATTTTAAATATGTTTTACTCTTTGAAGGAAGTGTGTTAAGTCTTATTCGGACTTGCAAATGAATATTTTTTTACAAAAGGTATCAGTGGGTATTATAAAGAACTTGTATTTAAACGAATCTCATTTCACAATCCAGTTGTTAAAATATGTATGTATGTATACCACACACAAATGAGAAGATATTTTTACACACACGCACGGATATCTTGCTTTCAGTATTCTTATTTTCATTAGTTTTCCAGCTGGATACGTTTTTTTCGCACGTATTCTTTGTTCACTTAAACGCCTGTTAAATAGTTTTTTTGTTAGCATGCGGTCACACTTAACGGCTTGGCTATTTCCCTATGCCAAAGAGCGATGTCACAATGGACATACGAAATAGGAAGAAATTGGGAAACTTCGTTAAGGAGGCTCAAAAAAATGTATGCAATTTTTTGCAGGTATGCCTGAAACCACTTTGGCAAAATTTATAACAGAGAAATGGCAAAATAAAAAATGTTAACAAAGAAATGAAATTTTGGCAGAATTGCAGTTTGTGGTTTCTGTTTTTTTACATTTTGATGTCAAGCCATTAGGTTAATTTTTAATCCAGCATCAAAACTCTGGGAGCCACATTCTTGCGCGGGTTGTGGGCGTTAGAGTGGGCGTGGCACCCTGCTGAAACAAACTTGCGCAAGAAGCTCAGGAATCTACATGCCAAATCCCAATAGCCTAGCTCTTATAGTTTCCGAGATCTCAGCGTTCATCTGGACGGACGGACAGACGGACGTGGCTAGATTGACTCGGCTGCTGATCCTGATCAAGAATATCCATACTTAATGGGGTCGGAAACGCTGTCTTCTACCTGTTACATACTTTCCGACGAATCTAGTCCCCATTTACTCTACGAGTAACGGGTATAATAGCGAATAAATTTAAAGATAAATAACTTTGGTCGCATCTTAAAAAAATTGTTTTCGTATTGCTTTATTTTTTGACAATTTTAATCCAAAATATATACCTTTGTAATGTGTTTCTTCCCACGTCATAGATGGTCTAAAATACTGTAGAAATGCTTGTTCGAGCTTTTATTAGGAATCCCCAAATGTAGGCAGCAAGAACAACCCATCAGAACAAGCAAGCGAAACAGTGCTGCCATCAAGTATGTTGGTATCGGCAAGGGCAGAAACTAAGAGAAAATTGCCATTCTTGGTTTTGACTTTTGAGAATAGGAAAAAAAAGAAAAATCGGCTGATTGGTTACATCTTTGGCGGCCCCCCGGTTGGGGGAAACATACCTTAGCCACGAGCTCGGCTAATTCTTTTCGATTTTGATCGCCAAGGAGGACAGTCCAGCAGCTCCAAAAGGTTTCAGGGCCTTGAAAAAGAATTTATTTTTCCTTTCCGTAACGGAAGCACGTGAAAGCTCGTGCAGACCAACGGAATTATAAAAACGAAAAGGAGTTATATTTTTTTTGATTTCTTAGTACCAAGTTAGGTAAATATACCAAGCTATATATATAGTCAATCTAAGGGAGTGCTTATGCATTTTTTTTTCTCTTTCCCTCGATGTGTGTCCAGCTTGGCACGCAGCCGCAAAATCACCAAGCAGCTTTCAATTGGCAAAACAACCAAAAGGAAAGGTACTTCCCCATCCAGCCATAAGCCAATTCGCCCAGACCGAAAGCCACAAGTCAATTCGTCGGAGATAGACAATTTCCAGCCACTCAGCACTACGTTTTCCAAGTTGGAAACTTTTCCCGATCCAGGGAATTCGCTCAGCTTCCCAGAGCGACCGGCTTCCCGCCTCTCTCTCGGATTTCAGCCGGGAAGGCCCAAAGCCCTTCGCGCCGACTACGCTGGTTAAGCGTAATAGTAGTTCGCGTCGTGCTCAGTCCGCCAGTTGCAATCAAAATACCGCAGCCCCTAAGATTGCACAGTTTTTTTTAAATCCCCAAAGCATGAAAAAATTTTGAAAAATAGCCCATTAGCGACCTATAAGTAGTATGATAAATTAAGGGCTATTTTTTTTTTTGCTAATTTATTTTGGGTTAAGAAATGAAAAACGAAGTTGCGAAACAAAGGTAAAATGTGAGAGGAGTGAAATATTGCGGCATAACAGAACGGAAAAACTAAAACACGTGTAAAGTGAAAGAATAGGAAACAAAGAGAAAGAAAAAAATACATACGAAAGGAAAAAAAAGATGTGCGAGTGTAAAAAAATAAGTCTATAAAGCCCAACATAGTGAAATTAATAGAAAATATCCCCCCACCTGCTAAAGCAGAAGGAAAGAACATGACATAAGGAGTATCAAGAAAGAAGGCTCTCTCTTTTTCTAGCGATCGCTGCAAAAGATCTTTCGCCGCCGGATCGTTAGCAAGTTTTTTCACTGTACCTTTATTTCCCTTTTTTCTTTTGTGTTCTATGCCATGCGTAACTGACTTACGCCATGCGCTTTCCAATGCCAAACCTGGAAAACACACATCGCGTGTTCGGTACGTAAAATCAGACTTGCAAATATAAAAAAATGAAAAAAAAGACGACAAGCACACAAAAATTAGAAAAAAACCCCAATTAAGAAAAGGATTTAAATTAAATTATTCTTACAACCACATCAAACTCTCTAGAAATAAACTTATTCCCTTCTCTTCTCTTTTATTAGTATTATTTGATACATATATCTTAATTTCTAAAACGAACAAAAAAACCTATTGCTTATTTCATATAATCCAATTTTATTTCAGCAGTGTTTCATTCCTCACAAGCCTATGCAAATAATATTATTTAAATAAAACCGGAATGAATATTTTATAAATTCTCGGAAGGAAACCAAATGAAAATCAAATATGAGCCAAAAGTGAAATTAATAGCAAAGAAATTTTCATTTATGAGAAAGAAAGTAGTTATTTATGATTAATAAAACAAATTCATAGTGAACTCTAACTAAAAGTCTCCTCATCCGGGGATTATGGAGGTCGGAGTGTCAGGGTAAGAAGGTGTAGTCACTCCCTGGGATCCTGAGGACGCATAAAAGGACATAAAGGATCATGGTAGGGTCGGGCTTAGCAATTATATTGCGAGGAAAGGGGAGTGGCGTAGTCAGGTGTATCTCTTGTGTATTGTTGGTGTTGTTCTTTCGACCATTTTCTTCTACTTTCTAATTTTTTCTTCCCAAACTAAGTACGCGAAATTTAACGTGGCGGCACCCCTTTCATTAAAAACCCACCCCAAGCCGACCAGACTAAAACTAGAAGCCGAGGACATCGCGTACTCCGCTAAAAGCGTTATTTATTTCCACCAGCGCTTATTTTTCCCAAATCAAACGTTATATGCTACAACACAGTCCACTAGCAAGGTCAACCTAGGTCTAGCCTAGCCAGCGCAAATTTCGAAAAAAGATCGTTATATAATCCTTTACTTTGAATTGATTTTACCGAAAGAATAGCACTCCGCCTGGGAACATCATCCCGGCAGTCAAACCCACATTCCCTCGTACATTGAAAATAGAAAATGTTCGGGCACCAACAAATCTGGATCAGCACTGGATCATCACACCACAAAACGTATTTCGGTTCATAACACCCACGCGCAACCAAGCCCCCCTGTGCTTCGTTGCCCACACTGCAATGGTAATCATATCCTTCGTCGATGTCCGCGATTCCTAAGCTTGGATTGCTACTAACGTATTTAGGTCGTGAGTAAGTCAAACATATGCCTCAACTGCCTGAGCAAATCGCACATGCTTGCCCGCTGTTCAAGTGTAAAGAATTGCTACCACTGTGGACAACGCCACCAATCTCTACTTCATCCGGCAGCGACGCCAAGCACCACTTAAGCATCCCAACCTTACTCGCCGACCGTATCATCCAGTCAACCTCATATCGCTTCGATTATGAACACCGACAAATCACCAGTTAGCCCCCTTGCTAATCCAAACCTCCAATGTTATTCTTCCACAGCCTCCCATGCAACGTGACAGAATATCCTGTTAGCTACCGCACGGATTATTGTCTGCCACCCCCAGAGCGGCGCTCAAGCATCAATAACTGCCCTCATCGATCAAGAGTCGGAAGCTACAATAATCTCAGATCATACCGTCCAAGCTCTCCAACTTCCACGATGCAAAATCCGCGCTTCGATCGCCGGCGTCGGCCAAACTACTGGTCAACGGTGCAACTTTACGGCAAGATGCTGCATCCGAACGTCGCTAAACCCAACGTTCAATCTAGATGTCGACTCTGCGTACGTTCTGAACTCGCTGACCTCACCTCTACCAAACGAATCGTTTTCGCCTCAAAATTGGAAACACATCAAAGGACTCCAGCTCTCGGATCCTCTATACATCGCTCGAAGCGCATAGATCTCATCATCAGAGCCGACCTCATGGCGAGTCTTATCCTTCCGGGAACCCGAATCGGAAATGCAGACGAACCTATTGCACAAAATTCTCACCTAGGTTGGATGATACTCGGAAAGTTCCAGGATTCAATCCACACATTTAATATTCGCTGTCATCAAACCGCCTTAGATACGGAATTGCTTTTGAAGAATTTCTGCGAAATAGAATCTGTCCCAAGCCGATCACTTCACTTTGACGAAGAGCGGTGGTGTGAGTCCTTCTTTAAGGAAACGCACACACGTCAACTAAACGGTAGTTTCATGGTAAGACTACCTTTCAAATGGAATTTCGATCCCGCAATGGTACTAGGAAAATCGCATCAAGTCGCATTAAACAGGTTTCTTCAATTAGAGCGGCGTTATCAACGGGATCCAGACAAATGGGATCGCTACAAGGAGGGAATCGAAGAATATTTTGAATTGGGACAAATCACACACAGTAAGAGATCAACAGTCAGTACCTCCACAAAACGATCGCAAGCACTTAGGGTGGGACGACCCAGTGCCCAGTTCCATCGCTAACAAATGGAAAAGGTTCCGTGTCAATCTGGAGGACATCAGCAAAATCCGAATACCTCGCAGCGTACGGTATACGCCAGACTTTAGCCATGATATTCAGTTGCACGCTTTCTGCGACGGGTCCACTCACGCCTACGCAGAGGCGGTTTACATGAGCATACCCCAACAGGATTCATCGTTTTATACCACTCTCATCACTGCAAAATCAAAAATCTGTCCAACGAAACCCCTCACGATCCCGAGGACCGAGTTATGCGGCGCTGTACTGGCAACCAAACTAACTAAATGGGTAGTAGCAAACAATCGTTGGAAAAACGATCAAATCTCCTTTACATACTGGACGGACGCCACTATCGTTCTCCACTGGATCAAAAGAGATGTTACTAGATCCTACATTCTGGGCCACAGCGATTCAAACCAATGGAGACATGTTCCCACGGCGGATAATCCAGCAGACAGCGCCACGAGAGGACTATCCCCATCAGAAATCTCCATCTTTGATCTCTGGTGGCAGTGAGTGGCCGGACACAGAGGTCCCTAGAATCAAAATCTTTTCGGATTCGTTGGCACACCACCCAAGTAGACATTAATATCATTGAGCGGTTTTCGACTTACACCAAACTCGTATGAGTCATAGCATACATACTGCGCTTTTGTCACAACACTCAATCGAAGAAAACCAGATCTTACAGTGAGCTGTCGCCAGAGGAACTGGACAATGCATTTCGCTGCGTCGTGAAAATAGTACATGTCGATCCTCGCAGAAAATCCTCTGCCTCCGAAGAGCATCCTAAGAAATCGCACTCCCTTTCTTGACGACGGCATCTTACGCGTTCGCGGTTGTCTCAAACATTCCAACCTTTCTTTCGATCGCAAACATCCAATCATCTTACCGCAGCGTACCCTGCATGGCGGCGCTCATCTTACTCTAGCCCACACTTGGTACAAGTTCTGGATTCCAAATGGAAGAAGAGCCGTCCGAACAATCCTTTGTGAGGAGTTGAATAACTCCCCACAAATAGAAGCAGCAGCAGATGGCCGGCCGCTTACCAGATACGCGGCGAATTCGCGTAGTAACGGCGCGGCGAAGAGATCGAGAGAGTTTGGAGACCAACGAAGGAGAGCGAGAGAGTTTGGAGACCAATGAAGGAGATCGAGAGAGTTTGGAGACCAACAAAGGAGAGCGAGAGAGTTTGGAGACCAATGAAGGAGAGCGAGAGAGATTGGAGACCAAGGATGGAGATCGAGAGAGAATTGAGACTTCGCGGGCAGAGCAAGAGTGCCGTATGCAAAAGGGGATAACGGAACTCCACCGGACTTTGGACTCTCCCGTGAACTTTGGACCGGGAGAGGAAGTGCCACATCTCGGCAGTGGAGCGGCACACAGGCGTGCCACAAGCGGTCAAACCTTCAAGATCAATTAAAGTACCAAATAAACAGTCAGTCAAGCAAATAACTTACGAGGGAGCTACAACCAAGCGAGTCGTCGGAAGCAGCGCCGTGGGAAGCATACAAGGAGCAAGATTGCCACGTCGAGACTTTCGGGATTAGGACATCAGGAATCTCCGAATTGAGACACAGGTGGCTGAGTTCTGAAAGGCATCACGCGGCTAAGTCAAGGCGTTTGTTTTCTAACTTTGTCACGACCACACCCTGGCGAGTCGCCCGGCGGGTCTGTCAGAGACAAGCAAAAGAGTCCTACGACGAAGAGCCGTCAGCTTGGGGAGGAAAGTTGTCTGCGACCCAGCGTACCTTGCCCGACCAAGCAGGACCTGGCGTGACGGACTAGCGGTAGATCGATTTGCGGTTTCAAGAGGCGGCAGCCTAGAGAGCCCTGCGATTACCGGCGAAGTTCCCGAGCAGCGACCGCCCAGCTCCCCGAGCGCCAGAACAACGAGATACTGGTCAGAAGACAGCGCAGAGGACATCGACAGCGACGCCAGCAGACATTTCCGGCAGCCACGTTACCATCGCCGCGCGGAGCTCATTGGGGAGCGCAGGAGCGTCGCGGACGTCACGCATTAGGGTGAAGCCGGGTGGAACGTTCGTCTGCGCTAGGCGTAAAGCGAAGTGAACCGCTAGACAGCCTCCGGGCGGCAGCCTTGACTGTCAGCGCGAACTGAGCAAGAACCTTGCGGGACCGTCCGGGACAGAGCAAGGGACAGGTATTGCCTCGAAAGGCGTCAGCCTGGAGAGCAAGGCTTGTTCACCCTAGTCTGAGAACGGTGACGGTTCCCTAAGCCCACAAGGCCGAACTCTCTGCGGGTCTAAGGCGCTACAAGCGACCCCGAGGCAACGCGTCGGCAAGCAAGCAGAGACGGCCACTACGAGCGTCCCGAGACCCAGGATCCAGAGGAGGACGAGTCAACGCGTCGAGGAGCCAGAAAGAGGAGCGCCAGCAGCCGGCGGAACCAGAGCCAAGAGATACCGAAGTCAGCCCAGCCACACGCCCGCTGTACTAATACCACGAGAATAAATCCCACTGTTACCATTTGAACACTTTGTTTTCTCACTGATCTACGGGCAATCACGTCATATAAATTTGGTGGGACGAACGCACAATCTTCTGAGCTAGCCGCACGAATCTCGTAGCGAGCAGACACACAAAATCAGTTCGTTACACCTTCGAAAATGCATCACGTGCTTCCGCGCGTCACCTAGCATCGGAAGTCAATTGACGGGCGACCAGCCGGTACACAGGGTCAACCCACCGAACCGCCCATTCATTGCGACCGGCGTCGGGGGCAAAATCATCATCAAAATTTGATTCGTCAGTTTTGGAAGCAATGGAGCCGAGATTGGCTGTCCCATTTTCAAACTCGCCCAAAATGGTGTCAGGAAAAATAGAATTTTGAAATCAATGAAAAAGTGCTCATCATTTTTAATTTTTAAATTCCACACCGCTTCTGCACGAACACCGCCAAAGATTAAATTTCTTATTCTTTGGGTCGCGGCTAAAGGCGTTCATCGAAATTCACGCGCGAAGTCTGATATTTTTTCTGGTGTCTCCTTAGCTCATATGAGTACCGCGCTGAAAAAACAACCCGACGAAAAGCGTTAACCGCGTATTTGCATATTTTTTTTTAATTTCAAAATTTTACAGTTTCACCAAGATATTTTTGGATTTTCTCACTGGTTCTAGCTAATAATTATATTATTTTATTAATAATAATGTAGCGGAAAGGTGTGAAGGATAGCCGTAAATCTTTTTGTTTTAACATTAACATGTATTTGTTTAAATATTGGAATGCATGAAGTCTTCTCTCTTCATTTCAAAATTACAATTTCACCAAACTTCCCCATAAACGATATTTCTGGATTTTCCCACTGGTTCTAGCTAAGAATTATATTATTTTATTAATAACAATGTAGCGGAAAGGTGTGAGGGACAGCCGCAAATCTTTTTGTTAAAACATTAATATGTATTTGTTTAAATATTGGAACGCAATTTCAATTTGAGAATAACAAAATTACTTCAAAATTTGAAATATGTTTCACTCTTTGAAGGAAGTGTGTTAAGTCTTATTCGGACTTGCAAATGAATATTTTTTTACAAAAGGTATCAGTGGGTATTATAAAGAACTTGTATTTAAACGAATCTCATTTCACAATCCAGTTGTTAAAATATGTATGTATGTATAAACACACACAAATGAGAAAATATTTTTACACACACGCACGGATATCTTGCTTTTAGTATTCTTATTTTCATTAGTTTTCCAGCTGGATACGTTTTTTTCGCACATATTCTTTGTTCACTTAAACGCCTGTTAAATAGTTTTTTTGTTAGCATGCGATCACACTTAACAGCTTGGCTATTTCCCTATGCCAAAGAGCGATGTCACAATGGACATACGGAATAGGAAGAAATTGGGAAACTTCGTTAAGGAGGCTCAAAAAAATGTATGCAATTTTTTGCAGGTATGCCTGAAACCACTTTGGCAAAATTTATAACAGAGAAATGGCAAAATAAAAAATGTTAAAAAAGAAATGGAATTATGGCAGAATTGCAGTTTGTGGTTTCTGTTTTTTTACATTTTGATGTCAAGCCATTAGGTTAATTTTTATTCTAGCATCAAAACTCTGGGAGCCACATTCTTGCGCGGGTTGTGGGCGTTAGAGTGGGCGTGGCACCCTGCTGAAACAAACTTGCGCAAGAAGCTCAGGAATCTACATGCCAAATCCCAATAGCCTAGCTCTTATAGTTTCCGAGATCTCAGCGTTCATCTGGACGGACGGACAGACGGACGTGGCTAGATTGACTCGGCTGCTGATCCTGATCAAGAATATCCATACTTAATGGGGTCGGAAACGCTGTCTTCTACCTGTTACATACTTTCCGACGAATCTAGTACCCATTTACTCTACGAGTAACGGGTATAATAACGACTAAATTTAAAGATAAATAACTTTGGTCGCATCTTAAAAAAATTGTTTCGTATTGCTTTATTTTTTGACAATTTTAACCCAAAATATATACCTTTGTAATGTGTTTCTCCCCACGTCATAGATGGTCTAAAATACTGTAGAAATGCTTGTTCGAGCTTTTATTAGGAATCCCCAAATGTAGGCAGCAAGAACAACCCATCAGAACAAGCAAGCGAAACAGTGCTGCCATCAAGTATGTTGGTATCGGCAAGGGCAGAAACTAAGAGCAAATTGCCATTCTTGGTTTTGACTTTTGAGAATAGGAAAAAAAAGAAAAATCGGCTGATTGGTTACATCTTTGGCGGCCCAATACATCCGGTTGGGGGTAACATACCTTGGCCACGAGCTCGGCTAATTCTTTTCGATTTTGATCGCCAAGGAGGACAGTCCAGCAGCTCCAAAAGGTTTCAGGGCCTTGAAAAAGAATTTATTTTTCCTTTCCGTAACGGAAGCACGTGAAAGCTCGTGCAGACCAACGGAACTATAAAAACGAAAAGGAGTTATATTTTTTTTGATTTCTTAGTACCAAGTTAGGTAAATATACCAAGCTATATATATAGTCAATCTAAGGGAGTGCTTATGCATTTTTTTTCTCTTTCCCTCGATGTGTGTCCAGCTTGGCACGCAGCCGCAAAATCACCAAGCAGCTTTCAATTGGCAAAACAACCAAAAGGAAAGGTACTTCCCCATCCAGCCATAAGCCAATTCGCCCAGACCGAAAGCCACAAGTCAATTCGTCGGAGATAGACAATTTCCAGCCACTCAGCACTCCGTTTTCCAGGTTGGAAACTTTTCCCGATCCAGGGAATTCGCTCAGCTTCCCAGAGCGACCGGCTTCCCGCCTCTCTCTCGGATTTCAGCCGGGAAGGCCCAAAGCCCTTCGCGCCGACTACGCTGGTTAAGCGTAATAGTAGTTCGCGTCGTGCTCAGTCCGCCAGTTGCAATCAAAATACCGCAGCCCCTAAGATTGCACAGTTTTTTTTAAGTCCCCAAAGCGTGAAAAAATTTTGGAAAATAGCCCAACAGAGACCTATAAGTAGTATGATAAATTAAGGGCTTTTTTTTTTTGCTAATTTATTTTGGGTTAAGAAATGAAAAACAAAGTTGCGAAACAAAGGTAAAATGTGAGAGGAGTGAAATATTGCGCACTGTTTTTTTTAAATCCCCAAAGCGTGAAAAAATTTTGAAAAATAGCCCAACAGAGACCTATAAGTAGTATGATAAATTAAGGGCTTATTTTTTTTTTGCTAATTTATTTTGGGTTAAGAAATGAAAAACGAAGTTGCGAAACAAAGGTAAAATGTGAGAGGAGTGAAATATTGCGGCATAACAGAACGGAAAAACTAAAACACGTGTAAAGTGAAAGAAAAGGAAACAAAGAGAAAGAAAAAAATACATACGAAAGGAAAAATAAGATGTGCGAGTGTAAAAAAATAAGTCTATAAAGCCCAACATAGTGAAATTAATAGAAAATATCCCCCCACCTGCTAAAGCAGAAGGAAAGAACATGACATAAGGAGTATCAAGAAAGAAGGCACTCTCTTTTTCTAGCGACCGCTGCAAAAGATCTTTCGCCGCCGGATCGTTAGCAAGTTTTTTCACTGTACCTTTATTTCCCTTTTTTCTTTTGTGTTCTATGCCATGCGTAACTGACTTACGCCATGCGCTTTCCAATGCCAAACCTGGAAAACACACATACATAGTTAGCTCCCATTGCCTTTAATCGCGTGTTCGGTACGTAAAATCAGACTTGCAAATATAAAAAAAATGAAAAAAAAGACGACAAGCACACAAAAATTAGAAAAAAACCCCAACTAAGAAAGGATTTAAATTAAATTATTCTTACAACCACATCAAACTCTCTAGAAATAAACTTATTCGCTTCTCTTCTCTTTTATTAGTATTATTTGATAAATATATCTTAATTTCTAAACCGAACAAAAAAAAACCAATTGCTTATTTCATATAATCCAATTTTATTTCAGCAGTATTTCATTCCTCACAAGCCCATGCAAATAATTTTATTTGTTGCAATTGGATTCGAGTGGGAGCGACGTTATCGATAGTTTAGGTCGATAGGGCGATAGCTGCAGCAGCGGGATGAGTCTGGCGGGCGATCTGGCCATTTGAAGATTAATCCCGGTTCGCTCTGGGATTACTTCAAATGGCCCATGTATCCAATGACCCAATGTCGAGAGAGGCCATGTAATATGGCGGGGGGCGATGATCAGCAGATTGCGTGATAGTCGCGGCCATACTGTCCAGCAATCAAGGCAGATGCAGCTAGAAGTGCTAGTATAAATTTTCTTTGTGCCTTAAATTAAATAGTGAGTTATGTGAAAGTTCTATAGTAGTTCGGTATTTAATATTTATCATTTATAAAGGCAGCCGGGGTCCCAATACAAAGGGCCCCGGAAGAATTTGTTTGGACTCTACTCACATCGCCATACTTCGACATACCTACCAGCCCGACTTGGCTGCCCAGCAACCGGTGTCCGTTCGACCCGTGCCAGCGACCAACCAGGAAAGCCTTCCACAATCGACGCCGACAACGTCAAGACTTCCCGGTGAGTCCGTTCCGGCGTACCGCGTCGTCCTCCTCCTCTCGGGAACTTCCAGCGGTCGCATTGCGGCGCTGAGAAGTATCGCCATTTTGTCTGGCAGCCGAATCTCGGACTGCCCTTACACAACTCACCGGAGAGCGCCGTTTTCCCGTGTGGAGACCCGTGTCGCTGCTGGCCTCCGACGGGGAAGTCATCAGCCCGGGCTATAATCGCCTCCAGGCCGGCCCGACGGTGGCTGAAATTTGCGAGAAATTAAATACACGTGTACCTCGACTGTATATATGATATCTACTTACCTGTTTGTGAGTTTATCCGGAGTTAGACCCGAGAGCCTTATTTGTCCTCGTTGCTTGCCTAAAATTAGAGAGGTCGCGAGCATTAGTTAAATGGTATAGTTTACAGTGCAGTTACGTACCTTTTCGGCCTGTCCCTTCTTTTCCCCTGGAGCTCCTCAGGATTAGGTGACCATATACACGCGCATCGCGCCTGTTCCTTTGAGGGCCGCGTTTCCATGCGAGCTCTACCAATACATGACTGGTAGAGCATAGTTTCCGCGGCGCCTGTGCCCTTTTCCAGCAAAACGAATCCTCTGCTTTGACCGCGTAAATATCCGAGACGGCGGCCAGGTTTCGGTCTTGAAGGCTGAGGAAGGATAAATCTGTCAAAAGAAGCATGTATATATACGATTGTACTTATGATATTTATTAAACCTTTGTAATACCCACTATGTGTGAATAAGCTTACCCAGTGGGGGAGATGGAACCGTTGCCGTAGTCGCGAGGAGGGGGCTCCTGCCGACTGCGAATGGGTGGTGCCCTGCAGCATCTTGAGGGCATCCATGGTTGGGTGGGAGCGCTTGGCTAGGTCACCGATAGCCACCAAATGTAATCCATTTTCTCGTCAATATTTGTAGATTTTTGCTTTGTTTACGTTTTGTTCTTAGTGATGACCGATAGATTAGTAAAGTGAGACTACGAAGTTATCGATACTTATGTTGCGAGCTGTGGCATTAGGGGTACTCTGCCCTGAAGACGACTAAGCTAGCGGCACTGCCACCGAAAAAAGCAGTTCGTAACATATTGGCGCCCAAATTAAACAAAATAAATGGTCGAGGCGACGACGTCTCGCCCATTTATGACCACTGAAGAGAATCTGTGATAATTTCTGTGATAGAGTAGTTTTAAGGCTTGTATTTTTGTTATTTATTTATTTGAAATGTTTTTTTTGTTAGGATGTGGTGTTCCTGGGTTTTTCTCCCCGTCCTGGACTTCTAATTTTATGTCGGTTGTGAACTTAATTGCGTAATCGTGACCCGTAGCAACCCTACGCGCTGCACGGTTACCTCGATTTGAAACAGAAAAAGAGGGCGGGAAAGAAAAGCCAACAGGAGCCAAACCGAGCCGATGTCCTTAACTGGCGGCTATCACCACGGGTGATAGCTAGTCCAGTTGAAAAAAGCGCAAGACAGTTAGGTCGGAAGCCCACCGGCGAGGGTCAGTTCCATCTCCCCAAATCAAGAGTAGAGGAAGAAAAATATAATAAAAAAATTTAGGAGATTTTGAAAGGTGTTGGAAAGTGAGGAATATTTCGTTATTGTTATTTAATTTTGCTGTTAATTGTTTTCGTATTTATTTTGATATTTAATATTTATTATTGTATTTATTTGTTGTCTTATTTATTTATCACATTTATCAGCGTATTAGTAGTTATTAAGTATTTATTTAAAATTTCTTGGGAGGTATGTCCGAAAGTAAGGACGCCAGGGATAGGCACGGCCACCAGCTCAGATCGATGGGTCCTCCTGGCGACGACAAGGACGATGTCTGGTCCACGGACGTAGAGGGTGCTGCTGGGTTGCCGCGGATATCGCTGGCTGGGGGTTTACCCAGAACGCCGGTAGGCGGTAGTGCGGTGGATCGGATTCGGGATCAACCGGCGGATCTGGAGCACCATCGGTCGCCCAGGGTCCTGGACTTTAAGGAAATCTTCGAGGCGCAGGATCAACATCTGGTTCCGGAGCAGCCGGGTCCACAAAAGCCGAACACGGAACGGGATACTGCGGCGGAGTCTGCGATGAACGCAGCTCTGGCACAGGCTGCCCAAACCTATCGCGCATCACAGGAGTTAGGAGTGAGCCAGGCGTTGCGGGAAGAAATAAAGAACGGATTCATCGACATGATGAAGTTGTTGAACGACGTCCTGAGGCCAGCCGAGAGCAAACCGCAGCCGCTCCAGGAGGGTGCGAGTCGCCAAGTGTCGATGGTGCCCAACCCGTCGTGTCCAGAAGGCGGCGCAAATGGCCCAGCGGAGATTCAGCAGCGACCTCGACTGCCGGTAAATGACTCGGTTCCCGCCGAATGAGAGGTTCCAGCGGTCCACTCGGATGTAGCGGTTTCCGTTGCCGGCTCCCGCGTTGGCGTATAACCGCGGCTCGTCCCGAAAATCCGCCGTCCTTCGGTCCTCAATGCGCCATGGCCGTGCGTGGCGATCGCTCCTGCCTGCCGGATGATACTCCGGCTCAGGCTGCTGTCCAGGGATCGATCCGGACAGCAGCCTGAGCCGGAGTATCATCCGTGGACCGCTGGAACCTCTCATTCGGCGGCGAGGACGATGGCCATTCCGTGGACGACTTCGTGTTCCGTCTGGAGTTCCTGCAGCGGCAGCATCAATGTCCGTGGAGTGAAGTTCTGCGTAACTTCCACGTACTCTTATCGGGCAGAGCGAAGGAGTGGTACTGGGTACATGTACGCCAGTCCAGAGTGGACACTTGGGCCCAGCTGCGCAGGGCTCTGATGGATCGGTTCCGTGGCCACCAGACGGAACACGAAAGGATGCACGAGCTTCTTCAACGTGAGCAACAGCCGGGAGAGAGCGCGGATGATTACATCCATTCGATGCAGCAACTCGCTTCACGCCTGAAAAAACCAATGCCAGAGCGGCAGTTGGTGAAGGTGGTCAAAAAGGGCTTGAGGGACGGCATCGCTAGGTATGTTTACGCGATGGACGTACTCACGGTGGACGAACTTCGCGAAGAGTGCGTCGAAGTGGAGAGGAGTTTCGGTCGTCGAGGGCGTGCTGCTTACCTGCAGCAGAACAAGGTACGGGTCAGCGAGGCGCACGTACAGGACGAAGTCGACGAGCACCGACACCTGGAGGTGGACGAGCTACGCGGGCGAGTCCGAAATACATTTAGGCCAGGTTGCTGGAATTGCGGGGCGGTGGAGCACGGATTCGAAGATTGCGAGGCCACGGAGTGGAGGATTTTGTTTCCGGTGCGGCAAGCTGGGCGTCATTTCTCCGAAATGTCCCGATTGCGCGGAAAACGGTCGGCTGGGCAGTCCGAAAGCGGGAGGGACTCGCCCAGGTTGGAATCCCGCGAAGTAGTTCCAAAGAAAGAAGAAGAAGAAAAGAAAGTACATAGTCCATCTAATAGTAATAAATATTTATTAAGATACCTACCGGAGGATGAGAGGCTTCGCCGTTATATGGAGGCACGGAACCGGATCTTTGCGGAGCATCAGCTGAGCGGCATGCGTCTAGTCTCACGGAGAGTCCAGAAGGCAAGGGAGCGCTTCAGGATGAGGAGATCCAGACGACGAGAGGTGGTGGCGGCCGTTAGGCGCATTGATTCCGCTGATCCTCGACCCTTCGCCGACGTGGAGACCTTGAGCAAGCAGCTCACCGGCTTGTTGGATACAGGCGCCAGCGTAAGTGTGCTGGGCAAAGGCTGTCGAGAGCTCGTGGAAGCGCTGGGAGTTACCGTCCAACCGTATTTTTCGGTAGTCCGTACGGCTTCTGGCGAAGATCGATCCATCATCGGACGCTTGGAGCTGCCTGTGAGGTACAAAGGCGTAAGTAAGCCGGTCACGTTCTACCAGTGCCCATACCTGGAACAAACGGCGTACTTCGGAGTCGACTTCTGGCAAGCCTTCGGACTAGCTCCAGCCGTCGTGGGGAAGCCGGCGTCAAGGCAGCGGAGGAAATCCATGCCAGCCAGATGGAGCACTATGCCGACCAGGAAGATGAGGACGAGGTAAGGGAGGAACCGGAATCCTGGAGCCTTTCTGCGGAGGAAAAGCTGGCGTTAGGCAAGGTCAAGGAGGAGTTCCTTACCTTTGAAAGGGACGGCCTCGGAGTCACCAGCATGGAGAGGCATTCCATTGAACTGATGGAAGGAGCTGTGGTATTTAAGGATCGTCCGTATCCGATGTCTCCGGCGAAGCAGAAGGTGGTCGAAGACGAGATCGACAAGATGTTGGAGCTGGGTGTCATCGAGAAGAGCAAAAGCCCGTGGAGCAATCGCACAACAGTGGTGTCGAAGCCAGGGAAAGACCGGTTCTGCCTGGATGCCCGGAAGTTGAACGCCTTGCCTATCAAAGATGCATACCCTCTGCCCAGTATAGAAGGAATCCTCTCCAGAACAGATCAGACGCATTAGATCTCCAGCGTTGACCTGAAGTTTGCGTTTTGGCAGATCGAACTGGATGAGAAGAGCAAGGAGTACACTGCGTTCACGGTTCCAGGCAGGCCGTTGTACCAATTCCGAATGATGCCATTCGGACTGTGCAACGCGGCACAACGCTTGGTGCGACTCATGGATCGGGTGATACCAGCGGAGCTCAGATCCAACGTCTTCGTCTACTTGGGCGACCTGCTAATCCTGGCTCCAGACTTTCAGACGCACCTGAAATACTTGAGTCGGGAAGCCCACAGTCTCAAATCAGCCGGATTGACCATAGGGTTAAAGAAGTCGAAGTTTTGCTTCAAATCTTTGACTTACCTAGGGTTTATAGTCGGAGGTGGACTGCTGCGGAGGGATCCTGGACGTGTTACGGCAATCCAGAAGATGCCTTACCCGAAATCCATGAAGGAGGTACGTGCCTTCCTCGGCACAACGGGATGGTATCGACGGTTCGTCAAGAACTTCGCTACGCTAGCCGCACCACTCTCCGAGTCCTTGAAGAAGGCTGGAAATACAAAGTTTTCCCTAAGTCCCAGCGCCACCCAGGCAGTGGATGACCTGAAGTTGGCCTTGACGAGCGCGCCGGTCCTGGTTCATGCGGATTTCAAGAAGCATTTCTTCATCCAGTGCGACGCATCCCACGTTGGCGTCGGCGCGGTATTGTTTCAGCGGAACCAGGACGGAGACGAGCAGCCCATCGCGTTCTTCTCGGCCAAGATGAACAAACACCAGGTTAACTACTCGGTCACGGAAAAGGAATGTCTGGCGGCCATCCTAGCTATTCGGAAGTTCAGACCGTATGTGGAAGGTATGCCCTTCACATGCATTACCGATTACGCCAGCCTTAAGTGGTTGATGACAATGAAGGATCTTTCCGGACGACTCGCAAGGTGGTCTCTCCAGCTGCAGGGCTACGATTTCAGCATCGAACATCGCAAAGGCAGCGAGAACGTAGTCGCCGACACCCTATCCCGCATCATCGAGGAAGTCCGGATAGATCCAACGGAGTTACTGGGATTCGAGACGACCGAATTTGCTGCGGAGGACTATAAGGAATTAGTGCAAGACGTGGAGTCCAACAGGGAGCACTTACCGGACCTTAAGGTGGATGGCGGACTCATCTTCAAGCGCATGAGTAACCCCAAAATGGACGAGGAATTGGAAGGATCCGAATGGAAGCTGTGGATCCCGCAAAGCCTGACGCACAGCTTGGTAGAGTGTGCTCATTCGGACCCCAAGGCTGGCCATGGTGGGATGACGAAGACCTTGGAGATCCTGCGACGCCAGTTCTATTGGCCAGGGATGACCATCCAGGTACGGGAATACGTCCGGAGTTGCGAGGTGTGCAAGGAATCCAAAGCGCCAAACTTCCGGATGCAGGTCGGAATCGGAAGAAGGGTAGAGACGGAGAGGCCATTCCAGAAACTGTACATCGACTTCCTGGGCAAGTATCCGAGGTCCAAGAGTGGACACGCCTGTATATTTATC